TAATAATATATATATATATATATATATATATATATATATATATATATATATACATTACTTAATTGATGCGAATAATTAAGCGATGTGTATTTTTATATGTGTACTTTATATTTTTATATGTGTATTTTTATAAATTCCAAATATAACTGTTTTAATAATTAGTTTCATAATAATGCAATGAATAACTCTTTTTGCAATGAAATACACTCAGAAATGGACAGTATTTGAAATACGTATTTAAATAGATTTTGTATTTGTATTTGTTTTGTAAATTGATTTTGTATTCTGTATTTAAATCCCTTTTTGAGGAGTATTTTGTATTTAAATACTTTTTTTAGAGTATGTGATATTTTGAATTTTATTTGTAATTTTATTTGTACATTTAAATTTTGTGAAACGATCAATTAAACAGCATCATGTCTACTGTCTTTGCAGTATCTGAATTCATCGAAATTATTACATATGAAGATAAGCCCATTGGTTTCAACCAATCATGGCTCGATTTTGAAAAAAATATCGATGGCAGTCGAAAACTACTAATGTTGCATAGAATGAGTACTTCGTGTAATGCATCTGATCTCAGTGATCGCAAAACAAAATTATTTATTTACATATTCGCACCACAGTGAGTTAGCGTAATATTACATTCGTCATATAACAAATTTTTTAAGTGTATTGATTGACTGCAGGATAGAGCAATTCTCCAGTTTTTAGAAACTTTCTATCCTGCAGCCAATCAACACGCTTAAAAAAATTTGTCATACGACAAATGTAACAGTATCTTTAGGTCTCATTCAAATAAACTTGCATAGCAGCATAACCATATGCATAAGGAAAATTATCCAATCACATTTCAGATGTGTCTTTATGATAAAAATGTGATAGGCCCTTACTTGAGTTTTTTTACGCAGACGTAAATCTGTCGGCGGTTTGATTTTTTTTTATAGACTGCCACGACTGTCCCGAGATGTGTGCATAAATAAATTCGATATCGTGTAAAGCCTATATCAGATTAAAGATTAAAATGAGAAATATATTGAAATTTAACCAATCCAAAGTTCACTAAACGAGAGATTCATTTTCTTCTTTTTTATTGGTTAAATTCCAATCTAATCTCAATTTCAATCTTTAGTCTAATATGGGCTTAAGTGAAATGATGAAGCAATAGTGAAAGTGTAATAATGAAACATTTCTGTATAAATTAAAATCGCATCGTTAAATATAATTAATATATTAATCAGAGATGGACAGTATTTGAAATACATGTATTTGAAATATGTATTTAAATACATTTTGTATTTAAATACTTTTTTTTAATATTTTGTATTTTGTATTTAAATACAATGTATTTAATGTATTTTACCCACCTCTAAATATACTCAACGATATAATATTTATGATAAAATACAAGATAGTCAGGATTATACACGAAATTATTGCGGAACTTTCTGATCGATGTAGATAAGTCCGAGAGAATCTGCAAAGTAGAACCGAGGTCTTAAAATCTTTTCGCTCTCGATATTTTTCTCCGAGGAATTATAAAATGAGATACCGCTTCAAGAATTTTAAAAGAATTGAATAATTGTAGGGCGCTTGAAAAGTATGTACAATGTTATTTATTTATTTGTTTATTAAGCATATATAATATTAATCATAATCAGTTTGAATATATCTTCAGTTAATTTCTTCTGGTATTTTATTGTATAATTCCAAAGTTTTGAGCTTGCATATTAAGAGATAAATATCCATAAGAGATAAATATAAATAAGCTATATTTATATATATTCACAAATCCGATATAAAATATATCGTTTGAGAAGTAAGTAAAACATACGATATTATAAATAAACTAATATTTACAAATATAACGATAAAATATTTATCCAGTTTAAAAATTACTGATTATCATCAGAGAAAATTGATATGCAAATATTCCACTATACTCTTGTTTATTATCATAATTATAAACCATAAGAATCAATCATTATTAGTAGAAATTAACGTCTTCAATAATACATTATCAAATGAACAAAATAATATTATCATTTTATAATTACTAAGGATAGAAAGAACATAAAATAATGTATAAAAAAAGAAAGTGCGTTAAAAGTTGCGTTAAAAGTTGTTTTCCTCGAATCGCAAACTTTTTTTACAACTTTCTAATTTTTATTAGAAATAATTTTTATTTTAATGAATACTTGTAAAATTAAAAGAAAAGTAAGATTTTATTATTTCAAGTTTAAACAATTAAATGTTACTTAAATGTAACTGTTAGATTCCTGTTACTTACAATTTAAAAAAATATAACGTTAGAAAAGTTGCAAGTATTGTTTCATGAAGTCATTTTTGAAAAATATTGTTTTATTTGTTCTCATTGCATCTCTCGATATTTATTATTCTGTGTCGGGATATTTATTGTTTCTTCATATACATATAAAAAAAAATTTAATTTTATTCATATTTAAAGATATCAATTTTTTTTAAATACATTTTAATACATATTTTTACTTTAATTTATTTATAATTTATTTTTATTTTACTTTAATTTATTTATATTTAAAAATGTCTTCAATATATTCATAAAAATTTCATCTCGCAGCACGAAACATTAAAAAATAGATTACGGATGACGCGGCAATAATCGATAGATTTTATCGTACCAATCGAGAAGCATCATTCAGATTGCTTCTGCAGATTATTTATTTTTGTTACTGTATAAAAACGAAGTCGTCGTTAAATTGGTGAATTGCGGTCATTCGCAATTTACAGATACACGGATGTCTCTTCGATCACGACGCTACGATATAAATCCGAAAAATCGAATAAAAAATATTGGACTAACGTTTTTCCGCTTCTGTTTTTTATGCATAAAATAGTGTTAAAAGTATCAAAAAGTGTTAAACTAATATTTGAAATAAATAATAGAATTAAATTAATAACATTGAACATAAATGAATACTGGACTTTTCCTTTGTACATTAAGAAGTGTAAATGAATATGCACTAATATATTAGGACAAATATTATACGCACTAATATATTAGGACAAATATTATAACAAATTATGTTCATATTAAATAAAAATTCTCTCTATATATAAATTATAAAATAAAGTAAATGCAAATTTGAAATTTTCACGTGCAGTTATTTAAAACCATAACGCATTAAATTACAATATACAAGCGTTTCACATAAATAATTTGTTTAATGCATATAAAATGCTTGTTAAAAACTTAAGTAAAACTAAAGTAAGTAAAAAAATAAATAAAACATTAAGAATTGTTAGTATTTTGCGAGTAAGTCTCGAATTGAAATTTTTTTATTAATACTCTTAATGTTTATTAATATTTATTTTTATTATATTTAATATTAATATTTATTTTAAAAGCGATAAAAAGTGAATTCATTTCAAAAGTCTATAATTTATTTGAACCTTTGGAATCTTAAAATAATCTTTGAGCGTACGTTCTTTTTATATTATTTTTATATCATATATATATATATATATATATATATATATATATATATATATATATATATCGCCCTTCTCTCTCTGACTCGTATCATTTCGATACGAGTGAAGGAATAAAAATGAATCCTTTAACGCAAATTTATAAAAGCCGACGTAAAAGTGTAATCCAGCGGAAAATATTTTCGGCAATAAAAAGTATAAACCATAATTCTTCACTCGATTCAACGATCGTAAAAACTATCGTGGAGAGTGCAGCTTTCATTCTTACGGAAAGATTTTACTGCCCGACGGCAGTTATTTGCTACCGTTTGTCAAGCGTCAGTTCATTTTAACAGAAATGCAATCGCATATTTTGAAATTAACGCGTTTCGGTCGCGCCGATCATAAACTGCATAGATTATTTTAATCGGCCTCGAGCCATTTCGCAAATTCTGGCTTTTATATTTTGAAAATCACAATGTCGCTTTAATTAAACGCTGTTTGCGTTTCCAAACGGAAATAATTGCCCTGCACTAAATTAAAGGGTCCGTTAGAAAATTAGGGGCGCGATTTTTCGAAGATATTACGAAGAAATTACGGTCATCTTAAAACACTCCGGAGGTAAATTGCCGGTACTTTATCTATTTTAAATGAACGTAAAGGAACAGGCGGAATACGCATTTTGAAGGATCGATAGGGATTCATTTTGTTTCTCACGGTATTCTCCGCTCTCCTCAACTATATTCCAGCGAGAGCTACGTATATTCGATCAAGTGTAATAAATTTTGATATGATAATGAAGTACAACGTACCTCACACTGGTGGTTCTGGTCTGGCTGAGACTTGGGTGCCTCGTTACAGATGCCCGGTAGCCTCTCCTAGGACAGCAAATCCACCATCCGCCGCAGGCAGCCGATAGGAAGTTCTCCCTGAAGTGCTTCGACATAAACCCGTAAACTATCGGGTTTATACAGCTGTAATGCCGATATTGGATTAAAGGCGCGATCGAAAGTCGCGTTAATCGCCGACTAGCTAAAATGCACAGACCGCATCACATGTGGAAATGTAATCGTCCGTGAATCCACATGTGGGCGCATCGAAACACGAAATGAAATCCGCGGTTTGAATCTGGAATGCGTAAACGTGACGCGATTTTGACCGATCGCCGAAATTTCAAGTGAGATGCAAATCTCACTTGACTATTTCACCTGAGATGAATCCCACTCCCGCCAACCCTTCTAACGAAAAGAAGAAGAAAAGAGAAGAGAAAAAGTTGGAAAATGCCCTCTCATTGTATTAATATTTTGTTTTATTAATTTTGTATAATGATGAATAGTACACATTATTAATTAAATGTATTATTAATTAAATGGGATCATGCGTCTTCTTATTTATAATACCAGCACATCAGGGTGGTTTAGCTATTGAATAGCTCGGAGGGTATCTCGGGGTATCAATTCCTATTCACAAATATGAATTTCCCAAGAGCTTTTGATATCATATGGCAAATGCAATTAATAATTGAGTTAATAACTGATTAAGATTCAATAAATTCTTGGAATAGATACAATTGAAATTCAGTATTATAAATTTTGCAAACTCTGCAAAATAATATATATTATTAAAAACTTAACCTTACTTAACTTAATCATCATTTTCTATCATATGAAATAGTTCATATATCATTCCATTCGTGATCAATTCCAAAATGATTGGCAAATTACATATACATTATTAAAATATTGAGAATTTCAAAGCGTGATGACAAACATATCTAAACATAAATATCATTATAAAAAAATAATTATTGCTCGCAAATGTCTTTGAATAATAATTTTCTTTTTCTATTTCGTATCATTCTGGTTTCTACATTAAGCAATTAAATTATGCGAAACACTTTGGCAAATAGTTGTTATTTTGATACATTAAACGAGCCGTTAAGTTAAGCGAGCTAAGAATCACTAATTGCAATCATCGTAAAGGACAATCGTATTTGGCTTTCCGAATGCGACGATATGTGGAACAACTTGCTAATTCGAATGTTAGTATTAAATAACAGGATGGCAATTGCATATATCTTGTTATATGATAAGTTATTAAAAAATAAATGCCGACTATCGCATATTAGATATATGTAAAGTACTGTCTCTTAAAGTAATAATATATTCTTGAATAAAATAATATTCTTTATGCAGTAACTTAAAATATTTTATATAAAAGTTCTTAGGATAGTTCGTATATCAATCTTGAAAAATTCACAAATAATAGGAAAAAATCAACCTATATTATAAATCTATATTATAAAATGTTGTCATTTAAAATTATACTTATAATTATTACTTACCAATTAATATCAATTTATATAAAAAATCGTAAATATATAAAATATCATTATAAACATATTTCAACAGTGCATATAGATTAATTAAAATTAAAAATTCCAATATGAAAATATAGAGATAACCCAGTTATAAAAGATCAAAGAATCGCGCTGTTCAATAGAATCGCGCGTTTAAGTTTCACAACTATGTTTATACGTGTACTAATTTTATTAATTTTTTATTAATTTAATTTAAAAAATATTATAAAATTAATCATAAAACTTCAATATACGATTTTTACAAAAAATTAATTTATATTATTTATTTGATTCTATTATTTAATTTTTTGTACAAATATTACGTGTGCAGAT